TAATCATGCTAATTCCTTAACGGTATTTTGAAATTTCATTACATTTATATAAATTATTTATTTATTCACCAAATCTATTCAGTGGTATGGTATCTTATGGGATGAACACAGTAATTTGAAAGGTTTCTCAGAAAGATTCAAGAATGTCTCACAGTTATATGACATATGGATTGTAAGTTGACATGTTACTTATTCATTTGAAAATCGATGGAAATTAAAGAAATCACAAAAACTTGATCCGAATAACTTTTTAACTGAGGGTAGTTTAGGCATATGGTAAGTAGTGGCACTTGAAATATTTTCTTACATCCATACAAGGTATTTTATTATGACAGATGTATACAGTACAAAACCAGAACTTTTTAAAGGTACAAAGTATACTGGGAAGGAATTCTCTTATGAATTGGTATGTAATGAGTAAATTCCCAATAAAAACCCATTATTTGTATGTAGGCATTAAAACATATGCTGAAATGTGAAGAATGTAAGTAGAGTATAGATATCCGCACATAAAAAATGTTTATAATCTTTTCGATTAATGAATAACACAAATTCTCATTGATTTAATTCTTTTTTTTAAATTAAAACATGGAGTGGCTCCTATGAGATCTGTAATAACACTGGCACATTTGGCTAAATGTTATGCACGACTAGGAGAAAAAGACAAAGCGAAAGATTATGCTCTTAAAGTACTTAATTATCCTGCACATCATGTCGAAGCCGATGAGGTAAGTATATGAATGTCATGTATATATATATATATATATATATATATATATATATATATATATGAATATGTACTGGTGACCTAGTTATATTTATGACGCAACTAAATTAAGTGTATTGGCATTGGATTGGATGGTGATTATTATCCGATAGTTGAAGGTAAGCACCAAGGGGCTCTTGAACCAGGTCATCTGTTATTTGAAACCCTCTAGCAATGTAGATTTGGACTCATCAGGGAACTGACGGTGCCCATGAAATTTGAACGAGTATCATTCAGTATCACAGTCACTAACGTCACCTATTAGACGCAAATACGCTTTGTTAACGGGTGACAACTAGCATAAAATCTAGGTGGACGGCTCACTAACAGTTTCAGCCAACCCTTTATCATAGAGGTTGATAAGCATATCTGCTAAACGGCTAGATGAACTCATATAACACATTCGGTTGGCTGCACGTATGAGATACTGTGATGTACAATAAATTGATGAAGTAACATTTACTTACCCAATCTTAGGTGTTACTGATGCCGGGTTTATTAATAGTACGAATTCAACTGTGCACAGTTTTAGTCATCACAGTGTAATTAGGAGTCATTTTAATTGTCCTTATGAGCAACAATCACTCTAGATCTGTATCTGTTAGTCGAGATCTAGACTTGGATATATTCAAGTTCACACATGGAAATAGTTGCTCATACATGTAAACCGACTCCGAGAAGCGAAGATTTCACACATAGACTTATAGAATGTTTCCTTTGCGATAAGCGAATAGAATTCAATCAATATAGCACTTTCTCAACCAAACCGTTGTCACCATACAAGTTTATTATTTCCATCTGAAAGGTATGATCATATAAACTTGTGTCAAAACAAAATGAAACTGGCGGAAAATTAAATTATTACACAAAAGTTTTGGAAAGTCACAACAATTCACTTTTAATTATATGGCTTCAGTAATCGTTTTACTAAACACATTTCTGAAAAACTGTTTGTATGCCTAATGTCGGGAGATAGCCACATTTAGGTCCTTCAATCTACTTGGGTAGTGAGTTAAGTTAGATCTCACACTCAATTTCCTAAGATTCAAATATGGAGTCATTTCTTTGGCATAATTTCTGACTGCATTTACACACATTTAGTAGATGAACTTACGGGGATCATTTGTCCTCTGTATTGCAGTTTGTTCATCGTTGATATGTAATAGGGCAATCAATGTATTGTTTATATTATCTCGGATAACGTCTACCACATTATTTTCTACTACATGTTTGTAAACATATATATTTCTTTAATCATTTATAGGCTAGGAAAGAAGTTGAGGAATTATTTCAAACACTTAAATGATTACATTGATAATGATAGTAACTACTGTACTATAATGAGGAAGGAATTATATTCCATCACATTAAAATTAATGAAGCGATTACTAGTACTAACGTATCATAGTGTTTCATGTATATGAACATTCTACAAATATATGTGATGTGTGTGTATGATGAACTTTGTTATTTAAGTTCTGTATGTCCAATTGAATTGTTAACTGTCTATCGGAGTGGCAGTAAACAGCCGTATCTGATCATTTTCTCTATCATAAGAACATTTTTCTAACCAAAAAAGAAACGTGTTGCAACTACAGTCCTAATCTATCACCATGATTATTAAGATAAGAAAAGTTACAGTTTGAATATGTTATTCACAAATTTAAGCGATTGAACTCATTGTATATATTATTTGTTTTACTGGTTCCTGATGGAATTCCAATGTGTACACGGATTAGTCTGTGAATAATCACGATTACTACAATCCAGTTGTTAGTGCTCATCAAAAAACTATGGAATAATATATGAAATGTGAACAAATAAAACTTTTGATATTATATATATATAAGCAAACGAACATTTAAGAAACAGAAGTACTCGTAGTAGTCTCAATTTAAGCAGACAGCTGGTTGTTTGTTTCAGAAGTGTTCTACCGAGTTATGTCATTTACATAAAATTCAGGATATTTTACGGATCTTAAGTATTTCAAAGATTGTGATGGGTCATATCACCAACAGGAAAGGAGTAACTTTCAAGACTATTCTTTTGTTTTGATTCATACAGTTCAATGTAGTGAATTTACTACCTAGTCATGGTAGAATATGATAATTCGTTCGGAAAGCCTTGTTTCTAAGCACCAAAACTGGCATAAGTAATCAAATACTACAATCCGCATATCGGTTGGTAATCCGACTGATATATTGGAATTAAATGTATGAGGTGAAAATTCAAGAGCCAATACCTTTCAAATGTCTACACGTGCCTCAGGCTTCGTATAATACTTCTCAATCAGTAAGCTCTTTGATTTGGTATGTTGATATTCTTTCGTTATTCGACGACATACATGTATTGCCTAGTACCGATCCTCTCAGTTATTCTGAAGTCTTCCAGAGTTAGAAGCACTCTCTGAATCCACGGAAATCTTTTTAAACAACATAAGATCCTAATGAAACATAATTGATGACATAGTTAGTTCTTCTGCTTCTGTAATTTTACTACTCGAAGATCTATTCTCTTATTAGACAAATCCTATTCCAAGCGAGAAACTTTACCAGTACGAGAGAAAAGTCAACTAAGTATTGCGACGGAAATAGGAAGATAAATGTGAGTACATTACCGCGTTTATCCATAGTACACTGTAGGCCAGGATGATAAAAGCCTTGCATAAACGATTAGCCAGTAAGCTTTATTACTATAAGCTTGCTATCAGTGACGCTAAGATTGACCAAGAGTTTGCTTATTTTGTTCCGTTAGTATATGGAAAGTATTTTTAGGCTTCATAATCGTTGATAGTTATTACATCAGAACAGTCTGAAAGTGTTTATGAGACAGAGCAACATACCTAAAATCCCACTGCAAATAACACATTTCAGTACTTTCCTTGATACTACTAAGACCAAAACCAGTAGCATGTTTGTGATGTGAAAAGCTTTGTAACTCTTCTAACCGTGTGTGTTCCTTGTCTCATAAAAAATTAAAACAGGACATTCTGTATATCTAGTGTCTAATTTCTAGCTACCAGCTGCAATTTTTCTTCTAAGCTAAATACCTTAAGCTACACATTTCTTAATTTGTAAAAAGAATAATTCTTTTCTATATCGAGGAGAGACATCAATTCAACATATAGAGGACACTGTCCCGTGTCCACCTAATGGGAAAGTAGGTGTCCACAAGTCTTTATCAGACTTTTTTTTACCAACTTTACCTTCAATCACAGTTTCATTTCTTTAAAGGATCGAAACATTAGCTACACTATATACATGCAGACATGACATAAGATATAAGGGTACGTCAACTAGGGAGGTAACCTTTCACTAATAAAAAACGTCAACATAGATGCATCCTACTAACACTTTTTGAATTAATGGTGAAGCCGAGTTTATCGCTCCTAACCGAGGTTATCACAAAGCCAGTCATTTCTGTCCCGTTTGTTTCGTTGTGATATAAATAACGCTGTGGTCATTTGTGTTCTGGAGGGGTAAAATGTCTCATTGGATTAGTAATACAAGGTATCAGTAACAAGATTTAAGTGAGAATGTAATGGAAGAAGCAATACTTTAGCATTAGTGTTTGATTTAGTGTTTTCACATCACCAATTACACTTAGCATATACACAAACTATAAGTTATGTTTCACTTGACTATAATCGTTACACTTATATACAAATGTCTTAGCAAAATGTAGTTCTTGAAAAGTATTGACGACATTGTGTTAAATTCATGAGTGTTCCATAAAGTCTAATTGCTTTAAAACAAGATTTATCTAATCATATAGTTATCTAAAAAACGTGGGGGCATATTTTTAGAATAAAATATAGACATGGACTTAGTGTGGAGATCTAATCAATTGAGAGATATTCATGAAGAAACGATACTATGGGCGGGGACATCATCGTCAGTGAGTATCTGAAAATTCGACTGTCAGAAAATTTCACCCAATATTAGCTCTAATATGTACCATTATTCATGCATCCAGTAACGCACATAGTCCTCTCATTTACGAAACAATTCAAGTACTTATATCTCTCATTAACATGACGATGTATCAAGGGTAAACACAGAATACATTTTACACATGTTCTACACAACATAAAACGCATCAATATTAGTGATAGGTAACCGAAATGTACTAGTCTAACACAATCCAAAGTAGCACTGACTTATACAAGTTGTGTTCATTTCGGTCGTTTCTAAATCTAAAAAGTAACAACATTCCAGAGAGGATCAAAAACAAACACTAACCCAATTATTATATTCTCTCAGTAAAATTAAAAGATAATTGAGGACTAAAAGCATAATTATAATACAAGGCCATTACAACTGACATCGTTAGTTAATGGTAGACAGTCAAATGAGAGCAGAAGGATCAAATATGGAACACGGGAAAGGCACTATACCATATGATAAAGCGACCCTTTACAGAATCTATAGCCATTATGAAGATCATATAAGTGAGGGGCTAGTATATGGTTCGATTTCATCGCAGTAAGGTATATCATACGATTTCAACGCTATTAATGTAGGGTTCCCAGACACATGTATAATTAGATGACAAAGGCCCCACCTCTGATTGGTAGTACGGTGATGATTATTTCATAGTTTCACAATAATATGTGACCTAGTGATTGTATGTCAAAAGTAAGGATGTGTAAGTTTTTTCTAAAGCTAATAAGGGAGTCCTGTGGATCGTCAAAAACAACTTTGAAATGACCACTGGTACAGTATGCTGTTCCAAGATGCAGTTATTTAAACTTATATTTGTGAGACGATTCACACTGAAAGATAAGTTTGTCTGCATAACTATACTTCCGTGAATAAGTCACAGTTCATAATGGAATGCAAGTTGTTATATTTCGTTTATTTATAAATATCAACAGCTATAGCGAAATACAGTTAAAAATTCATTATGAACTCGTCTATGAAGAATTTCTTTTGCACGGACTCTTCCATTGGACAACTTTTTCATCATAAGATGTACTTCTTCAGGGCAGTTGTCTTTCGATAACAGTAAGTAAATGCAGCCGTGCGGTGAGAGCAAACTGTAAGCTTGACTTAAAAATGGGTCAATCACCTGAAATTCAGTTAAGAAAACGCAATATACAAATAAGGGGGTTGAAGGAAGGACGAAAAATATAAACCATTTTATTTGACACACCACAAGCAAATTATGGTATAAAGGAACATGGGGAAATCTTCAGCAAGCGTTTAATACATCTAGTACATTTATTTGTGAGAGTTCCAAAAGATCATATTAATCTCAGCTCAATAGAACAAGTTTTAGGAGCAAGTGACTTAAGCTAGCAAATTAGTGCTTACAGATAGGAAATTCGAAATGCAGGGAAAGACGACACTTGGTAATCTCATATATAATCTCCAAAATGAACCTTCTACTTTATTCATTGCTATCCTCAAGATACTGTCTAACAGGCAATCTAATATATTTTCATGTTGAATAACGGTTTCGGTATACAACACAATTACATAACAAAGTACAGAACTATCAACAAAAGGAATAATGAGAAAGTACTAACACAGAGAGTGGACTTTTTAAAATACAGCTACAGATGTTCAAAATGGACTTCAGTGCACAACATCCAAATAAGATACTAAACTTGGATTAAGTTCTGTAATATCCATTGATTTCTGTGATGTTGACTCAAGACCGGTGAAGTTAAATCAATTGTTACACACACTGAGTTTATCTAAAAAACACCAAAAATATGCTTATGCCTGCAGGAAGATTTGGAACGACAAGTTTATAACTTTTAACTGAACCAAAAAACCAGCAAAGTAGTCTTACTTCTCTTCCCAGTCGCCCACCAGACCATGAGGCAACTATAGTCGAACTAGCAGCTTTGTGTTCGTCTGACGTTGTCGGTACATAGGGAGGATTAAACATGACTAAATCCACACTTTTATATAGTCTAGACAAGATGGGGGTTGCTAAAGAACAATTAATTGCATCATATGTCACCGATGTACTAGGAACATTAACGTTCAGCACACGTAGAGAAGCGTAACATGCCTACAATGATAAGATAGTGATTGAATAGCCGCATACAGTGAGGGATATGTCGGTGCATATGTGGAAGAGTGGTTTTGAAATGGATGAGCAAAAGAATGCACTGATAACTCCACTACCGCTTCCAACTTCAAGAGTTAAAGTGGGCCTCAATTCGGACAAAAATCCAGAATCCAACTCTAAAGCATCCAAAAATAAGTAGGAATCCTCAGATGGTGGGTAGACTTCTGAAAACTGTGATTCGTTCATACAGGATGTTATTGGAGTGGTCATGAGATAGATAAGTAGAGATACGAGGGACACCTCAGAGTATAGACCTAAAATGTTGAAAGCATTGTGGGATGAATGATGATAAACTCAGACCCGATACAAAACATCTCAACAGTTTTATGAAATACGTCATTTTGTGAGTTACACGAAGCAAAATTGGTGATGACTATGGTTAGGGGCTCGATTTTCAACGATTATATCGTGTAAAACCTGTTTCATTGAATCTCAAAATACACGTATTACTTCTAGTCTTTGCATCAGTTGATCAGAACCCACACAACCTACTCTGATAACTACAACTCTGGATGAGCACTTCTAGCATCCCAGTACATCATTTATTCGCTTCCAATGGCACAGTGGTAACCAGCTTTGGGAGAAAATCGATCAGTATTACAGAACAAGTGATTGGGAGCTGATTGGACTTTGGTGGAATGCTGTACAACTGTGATTAGTTGTAGTTACAAACGACATTTTCCCCTCCAGATGACTTTTAGGTAGGTTTTGAGTCGAACTCAGCATTCGAAAGCATCTTCAACTACTCTACAACCAATATTAACCAGGATGACATACTACGGAGTCATTCGGGAAGGTCAGGTAGGTAGATTGATGATTATATGTAGGATACAAACTTCAGAAAACACAAGGACAAAGAACGTCAAAACACAAGCACATATGAAGAGTCTGAGGTTAGTAAAAGTCCAGTCCAATATCCTGACGTCAATATTTCCGCCAAAAATTTATCATCTATCTTCAAGTAAATATTCACTTCGTAGACTATTAGCATTCATTTCTTCTAAGAACAAATTTGTCACCACACAACTCATCCAATTCAAAGCCCGTCACACTACAGACCGTACACAAAAGTTTGATTTTATCGGCGCCTATTAACATTCCTGAAGTGCGTAAGTTATCACAAAGATAAACAATGGTGATGTTGAAAGTTAGTGATTCATCGAATCAACAAATCAGGTTAGAGGACGCGTAAGGAAGTCTGTTGATATTAGACGCAAGATTAGATGCAACATGAGTTCTTGGTTACTAGAGATCACGCCTCACACATCTGAAGGGCTAAATGTGTTGGAGTCTGCATTGACAGACAAGAAGTTACATGATTACGTCCTAAGTTGTATTCTCTGTGTACTACGATCAATATAACAAAACTACCAGGGGTCAACGGAACAAATTCCTGCAGAACGGAAAGGCCAACCGGCTTGCACTTTACCGTTATTAGCTATTAAGTATACACTATATAGGACGAAAAGCAAAATTAGTATTAGCAATTACTGCTTTTACCCTACGATTCTGAGTATTGACGACCAGATGTTCTGTGTCTACGACTTAGTGACCATTTACTTTGAGAGAAATGCCATAGGGAAGCAGACAGACTTTGCATGCCAGACTCACTTGTTGGACGCAAGATATGAAGTACATCTGTGGCAATGTCACTTGATGTCAAGCGAAAACGTAAGTATTCAACAGTTACTACGGTTCTATTTCTATGCATTTATATTCCCGATTAACAGATTCCTAAACAAACTAGCAGTGACTTTTTTGCTTTCACTTCATAGTCAGGCAGTCAAGTATTGAGCTGTTGGTTCACAACTTGATGCGAACAAGTTATCACAGCTGATATTATTTTCAGTCAGTCTATCCTATATTTTGAAACTAAAGACGCTTTTGGAATGCGTATTTAAAATTCGAAAAGTCACTAACTTCAGTTCAGAAGTCACTAACTGAGCAAAAATAGACTGATTTGAACAACGATTTTGGATCCGCACGACCTTGGAATTCAAGTCAGTACGCGGCCGTTGCACTTGATATCAAACTCCAAGCGCTTACTATAGGTAATAGAGAAGTGTCCGTTTGTCGGACTCTCGTAAAAGTCTCTGAGAGGCTTGGAACGTTTAAATAATGAATAACACTCGAGACGGTCGTTAAATATGTTTGGAGTAATTTTTGCAACGGGAATATCAAGCTTCCTTTCAAAAGAATCATGGCTATCTATGTCGTTTTTTCAATCCATAGTTTTCAGACTGCGACCAAGAAGATTTGCATGTATTTTGCATGTACTCTATAATGCTCTGATAAGCCTAGTACATGTTGGAAGTGGGATACGTGCATTTCAGACATGCTAATATTAAAATCCCGATCTTAGTACTAGAATGAGGTCAATAATGACAGAAGATAGTCAAAAACAGCTATGATCAATCGCCCTAGGCTGTAACACTGATCTCAGTTGATCCAGACCTTACTCTAATGATCATGTTCGACCAAACTCATGGTTATGGTATGATTCACTGCATGAGTTATCCGTTGACTGTCCGCTTAGAAGGTTTACAGACACTATCGCGAATAGATATTTGATCCCGTCCTGTTGGAATACTCTTATTGATTTTTAATTGCCGAACACTTATTTATTAACTGGTGCCTTTGCTATACAGGACGATATTTTGTGCTAGAGAAACCCTTGACAGTATGGCACAGGCAATACTGTTTCATAAATTCTACGCCCTTAATAATTTTTTCTTAACTTTGAACCGCCTTAATCGAGCTCAGAGTGTGTGTTGATATAATTTAATAAGAGTTACTCAAGAACGTTTCGTACGCTATACGTAACTTTGTTTTGATGGTCTAGTTTGATATTAGTACGTCTATAGTGACGGACCAAATCCCAAAATTGTAGATTTATCGTGATGCTACCATATAATCTACAAGATCTTGTGTGGAAATCACACCACTGTTTGTACTGACTCATCGTGTTGCGACAATCAGTAATATGGTGTCTAGCACTTCTGAAGAACACATCTGGGCTAGGGAATGATATATTTAACATGAAAAGGTAGAAGTTACATGGAGTTACTACGCCTCCATTACCAAGCAATGCCATTCATAGTTTGTGCTCTCACGTTCGCCGTGACTTGTCGATTCCCAGTCACGTGAACAAAATATGAGAGGCGTGTTAAAATTTCTAGGTGAGAACGGAATGAAGTTAAACAAAACCAAGCGTGTTTGCCGAGTTTATACCTTATAATTTTATCGAACGCAAAATAAATTTAAAAAGGATTACATCAATCAAAAAATAGGCAGAAAATATTAGACCATATCCCACACCCAGTTTTTTGACACGAGTTTTCAGGCTTAATTGGGCTATAGGTCCGAATAACTTTAACACTATGGCTTTTTGTTAACCATTCATTGATAGTGTTTTCCAAGTAAAAACCCCTTAAACTTTGTTAAAGTGTCTGGATCCTCATATAAATGGCCAACGTGGCCGAATAAGGAAGCCAATAGTGAAACGAAAGAATAATCTTAAGAAGAAGTAAACATAAGAGGACAACCTCAATATCGTTGATTAGTTGCTATGTATGCTGAAGACTTATGTTTCGGATTAATCCTGCAAACGTTTTATCAAATACAGAGACTTAAAATAAATGTACATTTACAGGATACAGAGTTATTATTAGAATTTGAAAATGTCATCCATTTTCACACGATAATAATTGTTTTCATGTGTTAGTGATCGTAAAAGAATGTCTGTAAACTGATTTCACTAACGAATAACACTATTACATCCAATGGTTAGTTTCTCTACCCTCTCTGCAACAATCACGATACATAATAATAATAATAATAATAATAATAATAATTTATTCTCAAATAACAGTTTGTTACATGAGGCATGCCGGTTTACAGGCAAGATCGAATTGACACAAATGATACAATATCCACTGTAGTAAATTACACAGCTTGGTTGGTAATTTATAAGATATAAATGTAGATGGTTTTAATCAGTATCACAGTTGGCGCGCTTCACGAAAGTTGCGTTGCGAATGTGCAACTGATGGTCAAGGATAGGTCTATTGAAGGTGAGAGCTTCTAAATGTCGCAACCTTATGTCCCTTTGGAATGTCTAAGGCTTTGAGGATGGTGCAGGATAAAATCTTTCGTTCCATATCACAAGAGGGCTGAAAGAGGGAGCAAGTAAAAGAAAACACGAGGGGCAGAGTAGCCAATATTCATGAATGAATGTTTGAGGTATGATTACTCATTCTAATTTTCTTGTATTAAGGTATTTGTTAAGAAAGAGCATTTATTAGGTTAAAGAAAATAAGTGTTAACAAGGTGTGAGTGGACATACAACTGACAAATGGAGGCGATTCGGAAAGGAGCTGTGAGTATGGGATTATGTGTGGTTATAAAATAAAGTATGGTGCTAGAAACACTATTGTGATATACAATTGGCTATCTTTTTTATCGAAGCAACTGGAGCCCTTTTCATTTTTTTTTGTATTATTACTTTTTTTCAGGTATCATAGGGTCTTGAGTAGGCTTCGTATATTAGCGAATTGTCTAGTTTGCTTGTAATAGGATTACTGGGTGTGAAGTAATCACAAGTGATTGATCACTGGGTGGTGATCAATGTCATGCTTGTCTAGTCCTTATTAGAGCAGGTCGAATGCTGTCGATCATGTTGCAATGTGGCCACTAGTCTAGGTGACTCGACACTGCGGGCACTATTTATTGAGATTTAGATGGTAGTTGGAGGTAGTCAACAGCCAAAGTATTTGATATAAATGAGTCCGTTTAAAGTGGACATGTGAGCCTCAGGAAACGTAGGTTTGGTCCAAACAAAAAAAGCAGTAGTTCCAAAAATTTAGTTTTCATGAAAATCACATAAGGTGACTACAAAGCCGTCTTTTTTTCCTCGAAACAACTGAACTGCTACAGTCTGTGCCTCTACAGAGTTAGCCTACAAAATAAAACGAATAGATTCGAGTAGGTCACAATCACTTTACACGACCGTCTGTAGAATTATGGTCTACTACGATATTAGTACTGCTCTAATAATAGACCTAATCCTAAACTTGTCGATTTGCCATGATATAACTGCCTAATCTATAAGATCTTACGTGGAAGTCACACCATCGACTACACCAACTCACTGTATCGTATCAATTACCAATACATGATGAGGAAGAAGGTTAGGCTGGAGAAAGAACAATATATTTAATATGAATAGAGACCACGCCTGCATGGCCGAGCCATGCCACTCGATCAACTCCAGTCCATTCAATTCATCCTTCGCGCCTTCTCCATTGTTAGGTATTTCTCCGCGTTAAATATTGAATATCTATTTTCTGAGTAGTCTCGTGTACACAGCTTTGTGGATTGTGTGGCTATTGTCCAATGCCACTACACTACTCTCCCACCAGAATCAACGTGATGTTGGTTCGATACCAAATTGGATGGGATCGTCGCGCGCCGGAGGTTACCAAGGATAATAAGAATCCTCCGGGTATTGGTAAGCTGAAAGATAAATCAAAAAGAAAGCGGCAGCATCTGGTCGGGAAATACATGTAATAATTTTAAAATATCTGCCTTCATGCTTAAAACGCTTGAAATGAAAATTTGGGTGAAGATTATTTGAACTATAAAAAATGAGATTATAATAATAATAATAAAAATAAAACGATGCGTGTTAATAACTTGACTTATAGGCAGTAATTATTTTGTGTTTAGAAATATTAAAATAATGAATATTGTAGAAATGTTAATATTGGTATTAGTTTTGGTTTAAATTATGAAATCGGATAACGATTATGCCGGTAAGTTGTCCATATGAGTTGAATTCCAATTGCATCTGTATTAGTAGGCTAACTGAAGGAACAAAAGTATACCGTGGGGAAGAATTCCAACTAGTGTTCCAGTTAGTTTGATACGGTTTATTTAGTTACGGGGAGATTTTCTCAACCTCATTTTTACTTGACCGTGATAGAATTTAGTAATACTACTAATACACATGAATGTTCATCAAAACAAAATTTAAATACGTGAGTGATGATTATATGAATTTTGGACAGATAGCTAGGAACAAATCGTTAAACATGAGTGTATTCGTAAGAGACATGCTCTAGACTCAATGTTCTGATCTGTGGCAGACTATTTATTTGTATTTATACTTGCCGGCTGATTGGGCATACAAGTTAGTTGCAAGTATGCAGTTTATTATAAGGCGGAATACGATTTAATTGAGATATAGTGGTTATAAGTTATTAAAATCAGTTAAGCCTATCGGTCATATTACGAAGTGATGTGGTGCTGCAAGATGTATTTAGCTAAACAACTTTTTACAAGATGATTAATAGTGAGTGATGCTCATGTGATTATCAGGGAGAACATAAGTTGTAACCAGGGGGAGTACACTCCCAACTCATGTCTATGATAATGACTTGAACCTTAGTCAGTGTTGGGGTAAATTCGACATTGATGTTTTCAGTTTGCAGGAGATTTGCTCGACTGCTTATACTGATTATTTGCATGCATGATTGTGTCGTTAAACCATCAATTAGACTGACAAGGTTTTGAGATATTTACTGAATGAGCAACTGATAGAGAAACATACTGTAATCATCTGTGATGGATGAAGATACCAAGAAAACAACACCATTTAATAGTAATTATAAGTCAATTTGTTGACCGATTTCGTTAATAGTTTCATTAATTTTATCAGTCATATTACGTGATTGTCAAGTTATGACAATGCTTTATGACGATATCCTGAAACTATTAAATTTAACTAGTTATAGTGTTGATTAAGGATTAGTCAGTGCAAAAATAGGTATTGTTGCTTTAGGTGATTCAAAATCATCAGATATTTATAACGTTAAAGAATCCGAGACGCCTAATTTAATTATAAATTTCAATTCAGAAGCATTCGTTTAGTGTTCATTCTAGTAGGCTACGGAGTTTTGATTTTAAACGTTTGTTTAGCCAACAGCTACTTGGGGATTTAGTTATTTCACTAGTGCAGTTGATAGTACCTAAA